GTAGTTTGCTATAAAGTGACATGCATGAACGTTTGTTACCAACTCGTGTTAGAATCAAGAAAGTATGCCCTCAAAATAACAATCCCCCGAAAAAAATTGCACAATTCTACATTTACATTTAATATTCATATCCCAGTATGAATGCCAATGTCAGCTGACTGGCATTACTCCTCGAGTGTTGTTCATATCACATACTTTTGTCAGTTTCAAGTCTATGAAAAGATACACCCGCACATTAACAGTGTTATCTGGCATTAAACACAGTAAAAATATATATATTATGTTCTGATTGTAAGTAGTATATCTGTGTAGTACTAATTCATTTTAATCTTCCAACATAAGTTCCAGAGCATAATCTTAAAAAGTTTGGTATTTAATTTCTTTCATCCGAGAGAGATTAGTTTATAACGCTGTATTTTCAAATTTATTTGAATTCCACACTTATAACAGTACGATTCCAGGCCTCCGGTGTTATAAATCTTCAGTTCACGGTCATAGAAATTATTCCGGTGAAACAAAACTATAATTCAGGGGTTGCAAAGCTATTACAAGTTAGCCATTACCATTCCATAATGACAACACTCTATTTCTCGGTCATAAACTGTGTACCATTGAGACAAAAGTTTTATCACGATGTCGTAGGTATATTAATCTAGTTACAAAGCCTTATTACAAGTCATACGCAGTATTTCATTATGACCAAGCTACATCATGAGGCCATAGCGTTTAAGCCGACACATGAGAACAGAAACAACATTCCGGGAGACAAATTATATCTTCAAGGTTGTTAAACAATACAATCACTTGTTCAATAAATACAGCATGATAAAATGTCTACTGTATATAAGTTTGTAGCGAACGTAACTAGATCGTAACAAAGGCGAGGAGTTATTAGACTGGTCTTCGGTACATTTATTTCATTCATCACAGAATCGGTTTAAATTTGTTCCATCATTTTTTTAAATCGTATGTATCGTAACCGTTCAGTCAAATCTGATCGCCATCGTTTGTACTATTTCTCACATCAGTGTATTCACAAAGTAAACTTCAAGCAAGTAATTACAATTCTAGAGCCTAAATGCATTCAAATATTCAAAAGGATTGTGAACTGGAACCTTGTTAGTTTCGCTAAACATTGAAGAAAAAATAACGATAAAGAATTACCAGGATATGCAGTTACTCGTATACATTTTGCCTTTCAGATTGACGAAATTTGCGAACTAACAAAGTTCCTGTGCGATTATTCAGACATGTCGTATAGCACAAATTCATTCTGTCTTTAATTTGTTGTGAATCAAATTAGCATATATATTCTTAACATTTAAGTCAACACATTTCTAATATATTTGCAAGAAAAGGAATAAAAAGGACTGACAGTTCAACTTATAAATAGATACACTTACCTGCACGTCCATGAAATTCTCTACACTATGCTGTGATCTAGATCTAGAGATTTCAGAACACATTGCAAACAGTGATGGTCTGACCATGATGATCTATTAAAATTGAAAATCTATCAGTTTGTCCTTTCTAATAACTGATTACAAATCTCATAGTCGATAAAATGGGTTCATTACTGGATTCAAAGTCAAACGCTTACAAAGAACATTAGATTTTTTTTTTTAAATCTTTTATTATATGCTTGCTGGCTGTTTGCATTGTAATCAATTCAATTAAAGGAAGCCTATATGTCTACAATAGTGTAGTCACTTTATTTTCATGTCTAATCAACTGAATTATGTATTCAATAATCAATCGGTTTACTGGAATGTTACTTCCAATTACAAACCGATTATCGATTAAGTTATAAATCTGATTGCCCATCACTAGTTGCAAAGTACTATATATTCAAAGGAAAATTATAAAATGGTCAGATTTTTTTCTGGTTTTGAATATCAATTTGAAGGTCTTATAGGGACTTAGGGATTTCCCATGAAAATGGTTCATACAAGATGCTGAGAATAAATCTTCCGATGTTTTTTAAGGATTCTGTGGGTTTTTTAAATTCTGCAGGTATTTTTGATAGTTCAGTGATGAAGAAGACTTGGAGAGCATCATAATGACTTACATGGGTCAGGGGTGCAGTTCTATATCTTATCAGTGTTGTATCTTATATATATTTCTGGATAACAATTGCAAACTTCCGGAGATTTGTTTTTAAACCAAAGAGAAGAGAACTGTTGATTTTTTTTTTATTTCACCTTTATTATTTTCATGAAAACTCCACAAGGTATGGGTTGATTTTTTAAAAGATTTATCCAATCTACAGTCATGCTAAAAGAAAGTTTAAAAAATGTACAGATACAGTTTTGGCAGTGATACAAAGTTTCTTAATATTCAATATTTATTTTTGTTTGGCACTTGTTTCATATTTGACCTTGAGGTGAAGTTCACAGTGACATAAATACAGTTCACAGCACACTTGCTGCAGGTGATGCAGGTATACTTCTGCACTTAATTGACTTTTGACTGGAGGTGAAGGTCACAGTGACATAAATGCAGTTCACAGCACACTTGCTGCGGGTGATGCAGGTATACTTCTGCACTTAATTGACTTTTGACTGGAGGTGAAGGTCACAGTGACATAAATGCAGTTCACAGCACACTTGCTGCGGGTGATGCAGGTATACTTCTGCACTTAATTGACTTTTGACTGGAGGTGAAGGTCACAGTGACATAAATGCAGTTCACAGCACACTTGCTGCGGGGGATGCAGGTATACTTCTGCACTTAGTTGACTTTTGACTGGAGGTGAAGGTCACAGTGACATAAATGCAATTCACAGTACACTTGCTGCGGGGGATGCAGGTATACTTTTGCACTTAATTGACTTTTGACTGGAGGTGAAGGTAACAGTGATTTAGTTACAGTGCACTAGTACTGCACACCATCTGGGACTGACACAGGTAGGTATTCTTCAAGTTTCATCAAGATGTCTTTTCGTGGTTTAACATTAATTTAGTCGAAGAACCAAAGAAGACCCAGTACCAATACCTCTCCATAAAAAAACAATATTTCATTTAACCCTTTCACCACTGTAGACCATAATGAACTCATCCAGATCAATGTTTGGTAGAGTACACTAAAGTTACCTAGTGGTGAAAGGGTTAAGGCTGTACATATGTTTGAGATCTTAATTATCAGACTTCTATTTTGTGGAAGCTTATAGAATCAAAGTGGTATGAACATGGTATGGATATGAAGAACAAGAGTGTGGTTAAACGGCAACAAAATAAGAACATTTTAAAAGTTCAACTGTCAGCCCAAAATGTGTTAAACAAATTTAACATAGAAATTCCATCAACATATTGGTGTAAACTGTTAAGGTCACATCAAGGTCCTTCTCAGGCATTCAAATCAACACTCTGTGACAATACATCCAGCAACCTGGGATAAAATACTTTCCTGTGTGGTCACTGATATTGGCTTCCCAAGTCAGTTTAACTGGACATTATTTGTCTGATCAAGCAAATCTTCAATTTTTGGCCATTACTTAACAACATATTCCATTTAAAAAGGAAATTATGAAAACCACTGAATTATTTCATGAGCACAGTTTTTGAAGAGTTGCTAATTTCGGACACGTCATGAGAATTTGTCAGGGAATGGCTTGCCTGTGACACCCAGGAGAATTTACAAATTAAACTTCAATCTTACTATCAAATACAGGCTGCAGAATGCCTTATCAAGTGTGATTAGTATAATTCGAATAGAAAATTTACAAAAAAGAAACTCTTGTTTTTACAAAATTGTATGATCTTGTTTCTTTATGACACATAGTACCTATACAATGACATGATGTGACCTTGAGTTATGTTTATTGCGAACCAGGATCTCCCTCTCCACCACTTACAAACTTCTTTCCTCCCCACCTTCATCTATAAACTTCCTTCAGCTACACCTATACACTTCTCTCTCCTATAAACTTTCATCCAATACTTCGGCCTATAAACTTCTGTCACAGCAATCTAGAAACTCTCCCAACCTCACCCTCTACCTTCACCTATACACTTCTCTTGTCTTTACCTATAAACTTTCATCCTATACTTCAGCCTATAAACTTCTTTCACAGCAACCTAGAAACTCTCCAATCCCCACCCTCTACCTTCACCTAAACACTTCTCATCGTCACCGATTAACTTCCCTTACTTTCACTTATAACTCCCCCCTTACCTACTACACCTATAACTACCCCCCCNCGGTCACTTATACCATGGATTTATTTGAGAAATTTGATTTTGATTTGAATCCACCAGATACTGGAATTGATGACCAACCCTTGTTGCAAATTAATACAAGAAAAAAAAAATACATATCTTCCCAATAAAAGCAATTGAATAACAGCAAGCAAAGAACGATGGACTAGGTGCTGTATTGGTTGTTATCTAACGCAAGCTTGCTGTTTTACTCATCTTCAATCCTAAGAACATTTAATTCTGTTTTTAGGGTTAGCTGAATAGTAAGCTACAGTGATCTTAATTACACCTCTAACACTGTAAATGACAGAAAATCAATGGCTGACTCTGGTATTGTTTATACGAAAATGACATTTTCACAAATTTTAAAACACAATACCTGATGTGCTTGACTAAATATATGACAGTTCATCAGTAGTAATTGATTTTTCATGAAATCAGCTAATAATTTCAGTGTTTGTCAAAAAGAACTCCAGATTTTACAAAAAGCTATAAATAGGCCATTATAACTATATATTTGTGAATAAGTTACCTTATTTCTAATATTTTACCAAAATGATCATAAATGCTGGCACTTTTAACAGCCTACAGTTCACTGTAGCTTGCTATTAAGCTGATTACCCAACCCTTTTGACTCTAGAACTTCAATCACTGGGACCCTGTGTCAACTTCAATCACAGGGACCCTGCAGTGTCTAAAGTGCTCAGATATGTTGATGGAATTTCTAGTTGTACTGTATGTATACACAGTCAGATGGAAACATCTGCCTGTGTACACCGAAAGAAAAATGACATAAAGACTTACCCATGGATTTGGCCCTCGATTCGTTCCTATGCACGGATATCGCAGATAGAAGGCTTTACTGAACAGTTGGTAATCGTGTTTGTGGGGGACTCCTTTCGACAGCATATGATACGCGCATCTCGTGATGATCTTAGACCACATATGTCGTGAGGGGGCAGCACCGTCTTCTAATACTCTTCGAACTAATGGATCTTCAAATTTCGGTAAATCAACTTCCTGTTCGCCTACAGTGTAAAGACCTTGACCAAAACCCATAGGAGTCATGCCACTGGTACCGGGGTTCTGTTGGGGGGAGTATGCCTGTCCTTGATTAAAACTTGCTTCGCTGTCTGATAAACTGTTGTCGCCCATCATATACATCTGACTGTTCTGTTCGTCTGTACCTGTACAACAAATGAAGCACGAATTCGCCATCATCAAATTTTATATTTCAGACGGTTAAAACAACTTACAACAAGAATTTAAATGAATGAAGAAATGGAAGGGTATACAAGCATGTAGAAAATCAAATTTGTTCATACTTATAAATTTATATAATGCCTTGAACTGTGATTTTATAATCTTCTTTAGTATGTTCTATTTCATATAAATTCAAAGTACTTGCTTGCAAGCGGAATTCAAAGAATTCTACAATTCAGTCTTAACAATATTATCAAATAAAATAGTGAAATATTTTACTAGTTCCAATATAAAACCTACTAGCCACAGACATCAGGCTAGTGGTCATGTACACCCTTGACAATAGATATTGGAAAAATGTTTTTTGATTAATTATCCAAGCAAAATTGTAGAGAGCTTCACAGGCAACTTATTACAATTTTATGGTCAACAAAGGAGAGAAAAATATCAAAATGGTTAAAGTAAGGGAAGAAATATCCAGAATTCAACCATTCTGCTGTATGTATATCACTGACAATGTTAACAAGTTGTGTACATCATCATGAACCTTATAGCGGTTAAACCAACCTGTTAGGAAACATTCTTCGAAACTATCATTGACTTCTTGTTTGATTTCGGTGGCGGATGGATCGACTGAGGAGGATGTTTCCATGGGGGTTGACCCACCCGGGTCACTGGGTCTGGCTACATGGAGTGCTACAGGTACAGGTAAAGACATGGAGATGGGCTGATCAGACAAACCACTACCGGGTCCTGTCTGGTTATGGGACATGTTTTGTGTGGGTTCATTTCTAGCACTCATCAATAATTCAGGTCTAATACTAGTCGGTGGTGGGTCGTACGACGGTTCCTCTTCAGGTACAGAGGCACGAGATAAGTCGACCATGGCTACCTGCCTTTTGGGTGGCGATTCTTCTCTCGGAGGGCGCGAGAATGATTCCTGATCATGTCCCTCCTGCAAAAAGGAAGACCCCACTGTGCTTCCCGCTGTTATGAAACCACGCCCAATGTCTTGTTTTGAAGTCACAGTGGATGAAACCTGAGGTCTACGATGACGCTGAATTCCCCTGCTGGCAGGGTGAGAAATCTCAACAACGTCGTCATCAACATTGGACGAGTCTTTGCTTTGAAACACTTTGTCCATCTCTTTGATGTCCTCTGCCGTAAGGTCCGTGGCAGGTTCTAACGATATCACTTGAGGCATCATGTCTTTATTGCTTCCCCGTGCACTGGGGTCGATGGATGTCCTGGAATTCTGTACATTGTCACCAACACAAAGAACTTCATTTATGTAAGATTCATTTCCTTGACGTCGGAAATGTGTATTTCTATTCCTTTGCTGCTGCCTCTGAAATGTGTTTTGGTTTCTTCTCTGCGGTAATTGATTGGAGTTATCTGCCCTTGTCTGTCCCTGATTATTTGTGTTACACTTCGGACAGTTAGGGGGCTGTGGTGCTATATCACCGGCAGCATCATTATCATCATCTGGACTTAACCAACGTGGTTTAGTCGTCTTTTCATGATCTGAAAAAAATAATTAAATAAAAGTTTGAAATCTTACAAATAAATAATCTGTATTTAATATTAACGATTACTGTCTGTGGGCTTAACCATATATATGTAATTTAATATTTTCATACTGAATTTGCCTGTAATTCAACTTCTCATGATGAATTTGCCTGTAATTCAACTTCTCATGATGAATTTGTCTGTAATAAATTCAGAAAATTATCATCGCTATACAAGCTAAGGGAATACAATCATTAAACACAGATGTACATTTAAGTGCATAAGAAAAAGGTGATTTGAACAGGCCATACTAAGAGCTGAACCAGTCATTTTGACCTGCTGTCTATTGTGAATGAAAACCCTGTGAACGATATGGTATAAACAAATTCACAATAGTATTAAATCACTTTACAAAACAAATACTGGTACTGAAATATAAAACTACAACTTCTGTTACCCACAATGAATGTGCAGATATTTTTTGGTTAGTCATGTTGCAAACTTACCCAGGACCATATATCCTTTAATTTTGTATTCAGACAGTTTTAGGTCTAGCCACATTACAAATTGAGTGAGAGTCCATGGTTGGGCTTCCTTCACCATAAACGAGAAGTCCTCCTTAATTTTGGACAAGTCCAACATCTTGTAGCTTTGGGTCGTATACTGCAAAATGACACAAAATTAATTTAACATTTTTTTTATTGTTACCAGTGCAATTATTGGTTACAAAAATATAATTAAAATTTCTGAATAATGTCATGATATGAAGTCTCAAAACAATCTGAAATCTATCTGAATATCTCTGAAGATCTAGGTTTAAATTAATATCTCTCAACAGACCTTTATTTCATTTCACAAATTAAACATAGAACTGAATTTGATTTAATACTTGATTGGAGTTTTTTTTCTCTCCATATTCTCCATATGGAAATGGAACATTGATTTTGTGACAAGTAGCTGGTTTTGGATACATCATGTCAGGTAGGTGTTGCAGCTAGAGCTGTCACGATACACTTTACCCAGGATTCAAAATGAATCTCGATATTTGTACCACCATTCGATTATTTCGATTCGATGCACATTTAGTTTAAAATATAAACAAAATGAGATATATAAGCCGTCGATACACGGAAACCTGCAGTGTTTACACACATTTGATTTGAAGCCTGCCGGCCGAGCATCACAAATTTTCATTTCCTTACGGCGGTCTGCCATTTTGATATGAATGCTTTGTGAAAACTGCATCCTCGCAGCCGATTGTTTGAGGGTTTAGAGATCAGCCAATGAAATTGAACGTCTCACAGACGTTTCAGCTGAAGCGACACAAATATTCAGATCGTGACGTATCGGAAATCCGAAAAAAATATTGTGAATCGAATTGAACATGAATAATCGTGGTACAAGTGTATCGCGGTGAATCCTGGCGCCTCTTGTTGCAGCTTAGCAGAGTTTTTGACAGTACCACAAAACTTGTCAACACCCTAACATTTTCTGAGAATAATTCCATATTTGGATAAAAAGTGGTATATTGGTGCCACATCAGATTCCAAGATGTCAGAAGCCTATAGCTAGTATTGGAGCCAGATAAAACTTGGGCTACAAAGAGATATGGCTTAAAAATAAATTTTAAATATGTTGTCGTTTACAAATATTAGTCAATTTTATCATATACTAAGCGCGGAAAGACTTCACATGGTTTTCAAATTGTCTAATGAACAATCATAGTATTAGGAAAATAATTGGGCAGTTTTGAAATGAGTTAAGATATGACACAGATACTGCCGTATTGGATTAATATCAAGGTTTCTACAAATTCTTGTGTATTTAAATTGCTTCTGAAACACCTAGATGGTCAATTTAACTTGTAAATCCATAAGCCTGATCGATGACTCATGTCAGCAGTTAGAAAGACTATTGTGCACATAAGTGGTCTCAGATTTTGCCCTGCAGCATTAAAACTTTTGAGTGACAACTTGGGCGATATAAATTTGGTATGATAGTCAGAGGTTTCTATGTAAAACTAGGAAATTGCGTTTTTGATGCTCAAATCGAAGACTCTCCAGGACATTTGGAAACATCACTTCACACTGGATGAGTTTCGAACATTTTATTTTTTAATTTACATCTCAGTGTTCTCATTTAAAGCTGGAAACTTAAAAAGAAGCCTGCTATTCATCAGCTTTCTTTCCAGAATAGGGTTAGGCCAAACATATCTTAGTGAGATCACTCATCGCATGATCTACTTTTTCCACTGTTCTGTCGAAAAGCTTATTGTTAAACAGATCTAGAGAAAAAAAACTGTGTTTATTGTTAAACATATCCAGAGAAAAACCACTGTGTAACCAAAATAATTTGTCAGCTTGTTAAAAAAAGTCAACATTTCAGATAATAATGACAAAACGCCTGGCCGGGTTGTGTATTGGCGGGGGGGCTGTGTATTGTACACAAAGAGCATCGGCATCTTCAATTCTGATGGATGTATATTGACAAAGAGGGGAATCTATGAACAAAACAGATGAAATAAGTCTACTGATTTACAAATTGAACAGGAATGTACAAAACCGGCGAGCCATATCTTCAAAACCACGCCGTGATATCCGGACAAAATAATTATGACGTCACTGTATCATCACGAGGCAAGGCTTTGTCAGAGTACGTCGAAAAATACACGTATTGTCGACCATTTTAGCGTATTATTAACGTGCATTAGGGAAACGGGTTGCTTATACTTATGCTTACACATATAAGGTAGATAAATCAGGCAGGACTTCGTTGAAAATGCCGCTTCTCTGGCAGATTTCCGACAGCGAACAAAAAGGGTACGCTAAAAATGTTAATTACTTCCGGTTAAGGTATAATTTACAAACCGATAGGGTAGTCTGATTCCGGAAAAGAAGGAGTTCAAGAGCCCGTCTCAACTTTTGAAAAAGGTTATTTGTAAAATAAAAATATAGTAATATTTAACATGTACTTGAACTGAATGTGGCGGAAAGAAATCAAGTTCAAAAATGAATATATAGATTATACCACTAGCACAAAAGTCTGAATTAAATGCGTCTTTGAAATCAAAGTGTACCGCTCTAATTATCTGTATGATGATTTTGCGGGTGATACGAGTGGACTTATCTTAACACTGTAACGGAATCACGTATCCCTGTAATTCCCTTAAAGATGTAAAATTACTCTGAACACCTTAGTTTAGGTCCAAATATAGCTGTAACAAATTATCAGGTCCCTGTGCGGTTTGATACCACTATCCATCAGCCATCAGTCAGTAATGCCTATTTTTCATATTTATGAGTTTGACGTCAGACTTGCGCAACACTTGCTGATTTCTTCACATGTATTTACGAAAAATTAAATGACAACTAGTTTTAATACGTTTTATTAATATTTTGACACTAAATTTGACGTGTTTTGACATTTGGTGGTTGTTCACCTATGTGTATCAGTTTCACGTGATATTCCGCTAGATTAGAGAAACTATACCACGCCCTTGCCATGTCGCCAAATAAGACGTTAATACCAGATGCAATAAGCATATAGCACTCATGGAACTCCGAAAATGTGCTGGACATATTATGGTCCATTTGGTTAAAAAAAAAAACCACTCTAGATCGTTAACTCGTTCACTGAACCATAGAGTTCATTGTGTCTAGAAGGTAATAATTTTAATTCGTAATTTAGTTATCATCGGGAAATACGAACGCCGTGAATTGTGTAATTGTGAATCACGCAAACATATTACTAGAAAATTATTTAGTAGATAATTGGTTCTGTAAGTGGAAAGACACTGGAAATCATTGTTGTAATTAAGTTTCATGTTAATGCTGTTATCTATGAACAGTATTAAAATATGATCAATAACAAATTTCGAATTCGTACGATCAGAGAAGTATATATAATAATATATACGTCTCTGGTACAATACAACACAATTTATTTTATTAAAAGTGTAACATGTCAATTTTGCATACATAACATACCTACAACTATGATCTCAAAATGTACAAACAATATATGATTGGCACCCAATAATAAAAATGAGTTCAACATAACTAAAAATTAGTTCATCAATGCTGAAAATTAGTTCATCAATACTAAAAATTAGTTCATCAATACTAAAACAAGGTTTATATTTAATATTAAAAAATGTATTCTTCTACGATACATCTTATGCACTGTGCTGTCTATGACAATTATATGTCTACTTTTAAACACTGAGGTAAGTAAATTGAATTAGTAGGTAATCGCTTGACGCTATCAATATGATTGACAGATTTTCACACCCTTGAGGCGGTTCCTAGTTGACATGGGCCAATATATGAAAGCGGCTACGCATACGCAACCATCTCTCCTTGGCACTGTAACTGAGGCACAAATCAGTTACCATAACTAGGTTTTGTTATAATAAAGACATATTTACAAAATCTTATATTACTGACCTAAGACACATTACAGTTTTATTAAGACGAAGTTTGTCTTTAAAACGTGCATCTAGCGATTTTTCACCTTAAATGATAGGAAAATATTTTCTGAACACAAATTACAGCAAAATAGGTGATGACACTGGCGAGTTATCCTAAAATAACCAGTGCATAGTAATACTTGTAAATCATGTATCTGTGAAATTATATTTTTACTGTAAACCGGAAGTTACGTTGTAAGGGGAACGATTTGTTAATATGCCAGAAATATCTACTAATTTGTAGCGGTGTCATGTCTAACAAAAAAAACGAGAATTCCCTGGTGAAAACACATCGAATGGGACTAAAGGTATGTCCTTGCATTAATTTACGACTGACGATTAAGCGGGAATATCAAAGAGTGAACTTGATTTGTGAGGAGGAAGAGGGTCTGGTTGGCTTTGGTTTTATTTTGTTTAACGTCCTATGAACAGCTGATGTCATTCAACTTACGTGCATCCAAGTGTGTAATGCATAAGTGCTTACGTGAACTTGTGCTTGGAAGCTGGGTATGTTGATGTATTTGTCTCCCTACCGGCGATAGCGCAGATTTGACGCCGACTTTAGAGTACTGCCATGCCACGGCACGGTATTCCAGCCGGTCACATTATACTGACAACGGGCATAAACCAGCTGTTGGGATAACCCTAAATGCTGAACGTTGAACAGGACAGGAATAAACAACTGCCATTTTAAGGACTTGTGTTTGTCAATATGAAGGCAAAAGGTGAGGTATTACCAAGCAAGTCACTAGGAAACAACAAGGTTTTTATGGAGTCGAGAGAAACTTCATATAAAGATCTCAAATGTTGCAATGGGGTTAGCACATTTGTGTTTCAATGTCATTTAGAAGAAGACACAGAAGAAAAAACCCGATTCTGCAGCCCCCTCGAAAGTGAGAGAAACCCATGGATATCGAGGATTGTGATACTGAAAATAGCAGCTGGGTGTGCGTCTCAGTAAATTTCTTCCAAATCATTGACAAAAGTTGATTTTTTTCCATCAATTTGTCCCCGGAAAATTAAATTGGGCTTGAGCACAGAATCTAAATTTGACTAGGCAAGAGAACGGCTTAATGAATACGGGCCCTGGTCTCTGAAACAGTTCCCATGATCCAGCTTTTTGTCTAAAACTAAAGACAAAATAAGATTTGTTCATGATAAAACTTTAAAATGCGATATATGTGTAATACGAAGCAAATTTACATATTACATTCCATAACAATACATGAGTCATTAATTTCGCACAGGTCTGTCTGTCAATAAAATGAAAGAAACAACACTTAATTTCTTCACCTCTGAATTCTTGTTTGATCCATATATATACTATGACCATATGCTGTATCCTCCATGTTATCAAGTTCCTATACTAGAATCTAAGCTTACAATCTTTGCAATGTTGTCTGTAAATTACTATGTATATGCTTCTTGATTTCATATTTAAGTATTGATAATATAATTGCATTGTGTCCATGTACAATTAATTTTTATACATTTTACAGCAACATATTTGGCTGTAATTATGCTAGAATTGTATTTCAAATCTATGCAATATTGCCTTTGATTATACCTGAATTTATATTCATATTTAATGCTATTAGTCTGTATATATTATTGCCGTAGATTGTAGAGAAGGCCTCAAGGGAGAATAGTTTTGTAACTAATTGAGCTACCTTGTATAAATAAAGCATTATTATTATTATTATTATTATTATTATACCGGCTTTTAGTAGGTTAGTCCGTATCACAAGCTGAAATAAACACTATTTGTTTAGGTTTTTTAACGACTGTTCTCGATAAAAAAAAAAAATATTATCATAGTGACAGGGACTTAATTTTGATACTTAGGTATATTTGTCCCTGATAAAGAGGTCAATGAAAATTAAAAAATGATATTATTTAATTAATATTTGGTTTTATCATTTTCAGACCTTTTTGGCTAAGATTGTCTATGTTAGTCATTAGCCTATACATTTGGATAACATCACTCTTTTTCCTCCTGTACTCCAAATGTTGGAAGACCAAGAATCAATAGCCTTTCGCTGTATGATTTGTTGCACGTCTTTGTACTCCGTCTATAGCTTATATATCCCTTAAGAGCATTTGATTTCATACTGTAACGGCATACTCAAGCTGTGGTCTTATCAAAGCTTTATATAATGGCAGAAACATTTACTTATTAGCCCTGTCATCCTGTTTGCCTTTTTTGCACATTCCGCTATGCCTATATGTACACTGAATTTAAGTGAATTGTCAAATATGACGCCCAGATCTTTTCTTGATTTACTTTTTTTTATTCCTTATCCAGGTTTCCTTCTTTCATTGTATAATTTACTTCTGGATGATCGGATCCTTAATGTAATGTTTTGTATTTTTCTGCGTTGAATTTCTCTAGACCATTCCCACAGCATCGGAATCCCCGATACGTATTTAAAACGGAAATGACGACAGAAAATACAACAAGATTAAAAAAAAACCATATATGTATTAGGGCCTAAGAAGGATGAAAAATCCTTAACATAATATACCTCAAGTGATATTTCATATCTGTCAACATGATTTAACGTTAGTTTCTTTAGTTTTTTTTTTTTTTTATAAATTCCGATTCTCCGTATAAAGAGTGTATTTTTACATAATTTCTTACAATTCACTTAAATACATAATTTTCGTCTGCATATAAAATTATATATTTTAACTATTTTTCTTGGTATTTGCAGAGACGTATTATGTATTATACGTCTCTGGTATTTGTTAGTTATTCTACACATCATACTCATATTCCAAATTATCAGGCATACCATATAACATCACAGACATGATACATAACTTGCAATGGCCAACAATACACACACGCAGAACAAGAATACGCATTATTCTTCTCTACAAAATAATACACCAACAAGTAGCAATACATAGTTCACCTACCCGAATAAACTATTTCTGGCTCTGTATTGGAAAGAGTTCCTAAAGGTGGCCAGAGATGATATGACCAACACCGAATCAGAACTCTTTCCAAATACAGCACAGTTTGAGTGTATGTTACTATATATTAGGTAAACATTCTTCAAACTATTATTTTCCCCCCCCCCCCCCCTCCCTCACACCCCGACTCAAAGTCCATTATAGATCCGCTATTTTGTACAACAGGAGCTATCAACATACGTCCGTAGAGGTTCCATAAAATATGCCCTTGTATGGGCAGTAGCAGGTCTAAACTGATAGACATTTCTAAGCACCAAATACTCTCTCATCACACTTTTCTTTCTTTCCTCTCGCTCTCCCTTATGCATGCACCAGTCCGCACTTTATCATTTCTATCTCGGTCACCACAAAATACCTTTTAACATGCACAGACGCGCACGCTGCATATAATACTCGAAAGAGGGTGATGCAGAATATATAGATAGATACACACTAACAATCTCATCCCGGCAGACACCAGAACACGTCAAGGATACGACCTTAGTTACAGACATATCTACACATCCAAAGACACATACAGACACTCATTCTTTCCATACACCATAATACAATGGAACCTCCTTCCCACAACAATAATTCAATCAAATACACTAGCAGAATTCAGGACATGCACCACATACAACATAATCGAACATACAAAAACTACAACATAAACTAACACTCACTCAATGCTTTTAACCTGTTTTTATCCTATAGCAAATAACAAAAAAAAATCAAAAAAAGCATCATTGTACATAATTAACGCACAACAGCACAACGACCCTACTTCCGTTATCGTCGGTATCGACGGAGAAAGTCAATCAGATGAAGATGAAGATCTGGAATTCCAGCGGTACTCAACAAGTCAGTGCGCGGAATCAGTCTTGCGTTGAATACTAGTTACCACAATTTGCTCTGTCGTGCTCGGAGCTGTTTCCTCGTCATTCAAGGAAACATAACTATTTTTTTCGATCATTTCATATTAACACAGGTAGCATCTAATTAATATTTTCATTTAAAAAATAATTAAGACTGGCCTATTTTACCGGAAGTACTATTTCTGCGGTCCTGAAAATCTCTCCAAGAAAAGCATGCGCATATGGAGGGGATAGACCACACGTTTCAAGTTTCTTCGTATAAAGAGTGTATTTTTTACATAATTTCTTACAATTCATCTAAAGACAAGTTAAAACACAATGGCGGACTCAAGTCTTGACGACTTTTTTGCGAAGAAAGACAAAGGTAAAAAGAAAAACAAGTCAAAAACAACACCAAGTGATATCCTGTCGAAGCATGACAATTTCGTACCCGAAGATAACACCGGCAGCCAAACCACAAAATCGAAGAAGAAAAAGAAAGATAAAGAGAATGCTGCCACGTCGAATTCCGACTCAACAAATACCGGAAATGTCAGATTAAATAAGGTATAACTGACGGTGATATTTTTATTGTCCAGTCTTGTATGTTTACTTTTCTATTGGGAAATTCGGGCTAACATCTGGTGTTGACAGCGGCCCGTTGACAGTTTCATTTTCTGTTGTAGGTACATCTTATATTGACATTGTCTGATACAAATGGGATTGGCATTTTTAGTTGAAGAGTGTACAGTTGAACTTCTGAATAAATAAACTAAGCGTTATTGAGTCAGAATTTTGCATCGTCGGGCAATGATTTCGAACAAGAGAAATTCAAGATTTTTCGCATTTGGATGTATCGGTCCTACCCGAAAATATAATGTTCGAGATTTATGGGGTTTAAAAGATTATATTGACAATGCATATTTAATTCAAACATGTAAGTTGTATATATCAAATCTAACTCCCTGTCACCACAGGAAAGGCCACGTTGATGAAAAGACTCTAATTGTAACAGGAGAAAAAGAAATACACAGCCAGACTGGGGCTCGAACAAGGGACAGAGGCTCTACCAATTGATCTAGATCAGGTCGCCGGCGATCGACCAAATACAGCTCTGCTGCATAATATTGAAATAATAAGGTTCATTCGTGCAAAGGAATTGAAAAAAAGGCTGTTGTGTTTTCTGCTAATTTGATAGGATATATATATATATATTATATCAGTTTCGTTAACAATATGATGGAAGGATCCAAAAATGTCTGTTGGGAAAGCCTAGAAAATTAAAATCTACAAAGAATACTATTGAGCATGATGTTAATATATATTTAAGTTATAATTGCAGATCCATTAAATATGATTAAGATATGTCTGCCTGTTTACTGGAAGATTTTGAGACTGTCTTTGAAAGTTCCAGAATCCCATGCCCCTCCAGAATTATCCCTTTTGAATAAACCACAAAAGAGAGCCCAATTCAATAAAAACATAAAATTTAGTATAAATAAAACACCAATGAGAATACCAATGTCAACAATAACATAATAATGAATAAAATTCATTAAAATTTGGGCAAAATATGATTAGGATTAACAGGGAGAACCTTGAAAACGTACAAGGCGAATAAGACCAGGTGTTTCGGATAGGGTAAGCATCTTTTGCTTAATCAAAGACACTACCACGTAAATCTAAGTTAAAGGAATGTCACTTCCTCAAGTCCTCTCATCAAGAACTTGGGTATTGACAACAAAACCACAAGGCACACAAATGGGCATAAACCAGATATAATTGATTATTTGTCACAGCCATCATGATGCATGTCTTTGCTCTAGACAATTGGATATAATGGTCAGTTGTGCCATTCAAACAGATCGGGTCCAGAAACAATCAGATATTTTACAAACAATTTTACATGTACATGCACAAGGTATATATGATGAAGGATGCTGGAAACTTTTAAACAAGCACAACACACGGAAAAACAAAAATGAATTTACCTGACTGACATGCATTTAGCATGACTAGATGATTGTAAAATTTCATATAACGATGAAAAATCATTTACTATCTGCAACTTTGGCAATGTGCAGTTGTATCAAAATTTGTATTCTAAATAAAGTGTTTCAAAAATACAAAATGTAATCCAAACAAACACTCACATAAGTAATAGAAAAACATAACAGGACCACATAAATCCAATGTCCCTGCAGACAGGATAATTTGAGCTAGTATATAGCTGTAAAGACCTATAATAGCTCTATTGACCTATCTGAAATAGGTCTTTTGAGCTATTTTCAAGCGATTTTCATTTTTAAGGAAAACAAAACAAAGTCGCTTTTAAAAGAAGATTGTATCATTAGGTTGATAACAAAAGACATTAAGTATAAGTATTCTTTTTAAAAAATAATGATGTAAAAAAATCGGAAATTTCACATTTATGAAAAATGAAAATAAACTTCTAACTATGCTTTTTGTAGTCACCATTACCAAAAACCTTATTGTTTTATGCGACCTTAAGCTTGCTTTAATTTAATGAAAATTGAAATCAGAGAAAGTATAGCTCAATACAGCTATAATTTATAGGTGTATATAGCTATATAGGTCTTTATAGCTATATAGCTCAATCGGCAGAGTGTACTGGACCTGTATATAGCTGGTAACTTGTCTAAAATAGTTCAGTCTTATGTATAGATTTTAAACAATCACTGCCACCATTGTCAGGGTTAGACACTAACTGTTTTTGCTTGGTAGTCCACAGGACTAGTTGAATAGATTATTTACTTGTCCTTCACCAATGTAACTAGTCCAAGATTTCCTTAAGGAAACATCATGATCTACGACATGAAACATCAAAAGTAATCAACTGTAGGGGACTTCAAATAACTGCCATAAAAGTATGGAAAAGGTTTTGGGAAAAATTTGACAATTATCATGCAATATATCTTATTTTAAGCAGTTTTCTAAATTTAAAAAAAAAAATATTCTTATTTCATAATCATGTTTTTTTACAAGTGACCAGTTAGGTAATTCATTAATCCTTACTGAAATCTACGAGACCAGGACTAGCGGACTGGTCTTAGTGTCGACCCATGATTGTCTAGGCTAGTTGTAGTCGAATGAAATTAAGATTTAATACTGATCTGTTTTCAGGAAGATGAAGAATGGGTGGACTATGAGGATGAGGCTGAGAAAGATTACTCAGGATTAAGGATACAAAACCTGCAAATTAAAAAGTAAGTGATGGCCATTGATGATCAACTAACATTCTTCTTCATTTATTAGTTGAATTTCATTGGTCAGTATTTAAGTCCACTGATGTATAGTTTTAACTGTTTACAAAGAAATACGTTTGATTAAAGAATACTATTTATAACTAAATGTATGATAGATGAGGACTAATTTCAGAGTCAAAAGTATATTTCTAGCCTTTGAGGACCAGAATTTAAAAGAAATAACTTATATTGACTGACCATGATCCTATGGTTAATGTTGTCCACACAAAGGTTTCCATGAGATGACTCTTAAAGGAATGCCTTAATGATTTCATGAAACTTCCCACAAATGTCAGTTACCCACTGAAGTTTGTTTTTGACTCGGATCTGAAATTCAATATGGATGCCAGCATGCAGTCTGATCAGAAATTCAGTATGGCTGTTGGGAGCCAGGTTGGATTTCAGCATCCAAGTTTGGTTCTGTAAGATTACTCTTGAAGGAATGCTTTGATGATTTTCATGAAACTTTCTACACATAACTAAGAGTATTGACTACAAGCTCAGTTTTGAACAAATTACATATTTTTTAAAATTTTTATGGAACTTGCTTCACATGACTTTAGTAACGATCACCCACTCAAGTTTGTTTCTGACTGAGACAATTGTGGATTTAAAAAAATAAAAATAAGAGAGGAAATAACAATACTGCAACATTTTCACAAAATTCAAGCAGATAAATGTTTTAATATTTTGATGAAATTGGAAAAATAGAGCTTCAATTTTTTCAGAAAAAAAGTTGTAATATTTAATGGATTTGACAAATAAAACGTTTTCAAATTTGATATGCAGTAAAGAAGAAGAGGTAGAGGAAGATGATAAAGACAATGAAAATGATGAAGATGGAGAAAGTGGTGAGAAACGTGACACGTCTGGTCCATGGAATACATCCCAATCAGGCAAGCCTCGAGCGGAGGTTAAGAAGAAAAAAAAAAGTGAGTTCAAGTTCTAATATCTTCATATGTTCAGTCATATATACAACATTCCTAGATACTAATTATTATATATAGATATGCAATGTTAATGGGGTAATATATAATTCAAATCAGGATTGCCTGTGTCTAGGTTTTAACTGTGGCCCTTTCACTGGGTGAACACATTGTCACTTGGACTCTTGCTGCTATTGATATGCAATGTTAATGGGGTAATATATAATTCAAATCAGGATTGCCTGTGTCTAGGTTTTAACTGTGGCCCTTTTACTGGGTGAACACATTGTCACTTGGACTCTTGCTGCTATTCATCAATTGAAGTAAAAGATTTATGATGGTTTAAAGAAAACAGTTTGGAAAGCATATGCAATCTGGCATTTAATCTGAATACATCCACGCCAGTTATTAGTCCCTTGCTGGTAGTACGGGGGCTTGAGGGGGCTACGCTTTGTATACATACTCCATCGGTCAAGTCGTTTTCAGATTGTCACTTTGTCCAGGGCATGTCCTATGTATACCCTGTTACCTATAATCTCCAGAGTGTTGTGTACTGCAATTAAGTCTTTCGCAGGAGTCGACACTAACACTAGTCCGCTAGTCCTCCTGGACGAGTAGTTTTCAACGAGGACTATTGAATCACCTAACCTAACTGATCCTTTGGACTTGTGAAAAATATTATTATGAAATAAGACGATATCTTTTTAAAATTTAGAACACAGCTTAAAATAAGATATATTGCATGATAATTGTCAAACTTTTCCCAAAACTTCACCATATTTTTATGGCAGTAATTATTTCAAGTCCCTATAGTTGATTACTTTTTATGTTTCGTGCTGTAGATCGCGATGTGTCCTTATCAGGAAATCTGGGACTAGTTACATTGACGAAGGACTAGTAAATAATCTATTCAACTAGTCCTTTGGACTACCAAGCAAAAAAAGTTAGTGTCTAGCCCAGCTTTGCCCATCTATCTTTATACATTTAGTTATTGCCATTTGTTCACTTTGGAATACTTTGTTTCGGGGCATAGCTCATTTAGCTTGGATTAGTGTTGTCCCGATCATAATCAATATCTAATCGGAAAGGCAACTGATTCCCGACAATCGATTATGAGATGTCAACATCGGCAAGGTTCTACTTTCATTTTCACTAAGAGATAATGAGAGTTCTATGTCATTTTACTCTTAACTATATTTTCTTACCAATCATGCTATTTAAACATAATCAATTGCAAAAAATATAAATGATAACTGTTCATCAATAGAGATTGGTACGTTGAAATGGTATGATAAACAATAAAGATACGAAACTACGCAGAAAAGTTGAAATTTCATTCGTAGTATTAATACATTTGTAAAAGGAAAAGCCATGCCATTGTTAAAAAATAAGTAATATTTTTTTAAGGATTATGTAACGGTAGGCTTACCGATTAATAAACGAAAATGGATCGATTGACACTAACCGATTATATCCGATCATCGATGTTGAAATCTCAACCTATAACCAACACTAGCTTGGATATACTCTGTCGCGTACAATTTCCAAATTTTGTATGTGATTACCTCTGGCCATGGGGGAGTGTCATTTAGTGAAAATAGGTCTCGTACCCCACTATAAATAGAGTGGGGTACAAGACCCTATTTATTTTTGACAGTAAGATTGTTGGGAGGTCGAGAAGCATGTATTGATGGCAATACTTTGCCTTGTTTGATATAGTGTTGGTAGCAGAGGCTAAACATTTCCTATGTCCAAAGTTCAGGGCCCCAAAAATTGACTAGCGGACCTAGCTAAAATATTATAAAAAGTCTGTCTGACCTACATGTTCCCATGTTGTCAAAGTGAAAAAAATAAAAAATATCTTGCCATTTTTGGCGCTTAATCATAATTAAAGGGGTTATTTTCATCTTAGACTACATAGTGTTTACTTTTAAATAGCGTTATTCATTGACCTTTATGTTGTGGGAAGACCTACAAAAACCATGTAAGGACCCCGACTTTCTGGGCTGGACCAAGGAATGACAAAAGTTTTAGCCCCTGTGAATCTGGGCAACTTCATAAATGGATGCCAATGGTTTTGGGTATAAGTTTGATCACCTGCAACATTTCTTTTTTGCAGAAGTAGAAGTAGAGGAAGCTCCCCCTACACCAGCTGAGGAGCCATCCAAGGAAGAGGCTCCCAAGGCTCCTACCAAGTATGTGCCTCCCGGGGCCCGCGGGTCTCAAGGTTCAGGGGACTCTGACTGCCCCAGCAGGGCCGCTATGATGAGAAGGAAGAAAGGAGCGCCAAACCTGAAGAGTGAAGACGACTTCCCAACTCTTGGGGGCGGTGCACCAGAGGTGGCAGCCTGGGGGCCATCAGGGTAAGAAAAAACTTGTTTAACCCTGTCGGTAAAGCAAATATTTGTTGCACTAACTAATTTGTTAGCTCACCTGGACCAAAGGCCAGTTGCTGTTATAAACTTTTCTGAGAACTTTTTCTGTGATCATAAAGCTTAAGTGTTAAAGAGAGGTTCCAAAACACCCTTCGGAGCAGAGGGATCTTGGACCGAGAATATCACTGCTTTGATATACCACTGAAATTGTACTCTATGGGTGTAGATTTTAAATGCTATAATCAGGACCCTGGTTTCGTAAATACAGCCATGCCCAGGCAAAGTAAAGTATAAATATAGGCTAAATACAAGAATGTACATTGATTTGAAACTTTTGTGTTGCAGGGTTGGCAATTTTGAGCGTGTCCAAGGGGGCGGCAAACAAATGGATGATTCTTCAAAAGCAAATATGCAGGTGTCCCTAGGGAACAAATATGCTGCTCTACAAGACTGACACTATTTATATATTTGTAGATAACGGGAAGCAGCTTTGTTAGGCTGCATTATGGCACAACTGATTGTCATGTACAACCGATTGTCATGGCAACATAGCTGGTTCATTGTCATGGCAACAAGAGCTGGTTTGTTGTCACAGCAACACAGCTGATTCTTTGTGATGATGTCACGGTTGGTTCACTGTCATGAAATGACAGTTGGTTCACTGTCATGATATGACAGTTGGTTCACTGTCATGATGGTACATTTCCATGGTGATGTCTCTTGTCATCGTCGCATTGAAACAGCTGGTTCATTATCAGAGTGTCACAGTTGTTGACCATGCCACTGGTCAGTGGTTCTATTGGAGGTTCATGATTGCACTGCTAGTAAACATGTTCTTAAAAATCAGGGCTTTCATAAGACCTTTGAGTGTTTCTGACTCCCCAAAAGGAGCTCTGATTCTAAGGATTTGAAGAAAACATCTATATGAAATGTATTTTGACTCTTTAAATTTCAGGAAAAACATTGTTTGATTTCTGAAATTGCAGAATGTCCAGAGTCAACTGAAAGCCCTGACTAATAATAATAGACATGCTTCTTATCGTATATAGAGAAAATGTCTGGTCATACACAGAAACCTGAGTGCTTAACTGGTTCGAATGATGCCAAGTATTGAATGATAACATACATTGTATTGTTGTTATATGTTTTGCATGCGAAAAAACAAAAACAACTCTTAGAGTTGGATACTGATTAATTAAGACATGTTTTTTGCTGTAAATAGATATTTTCCACCACAAATATTAACAGTAGTTCTAAAAGAAAGATCGATACGTATATTTTCTATAGACAGTTTTGCGAGTAATTTTGTCTTTTACTGATACTTTGAGGGATAGCTTGTGTAACTCTGCCATCTATTGAAGGGAGGTTCTACGTGTTTTAGAAAGCATAAGAGACAGAAATAAGTTAATGTTGTTAATAACGGGAAAAATAGGGTAATATTTTGTTCCGATAATGTACTTGTTTTCTGAATGTATTATGTATCCATTTTTCATAAAAAAAGAAGAGTTTTTGAGACCAAGGATAAAATCCACAGGTACAATAAGAGCAGTCGTTGTGTCAGTGAAACCGCTGACATTTCAGATTCTGGTACTGAAAGTACAGACATTCCCTGCAGAAGGACACCAGCGTTTTCAGCAGTACTTCCCATGATGCTTGTACTGATTTATACAAATGGGTAGAAGGGAACAGTTGAGGGTAAATACAGCTTGATAGAGGACAAAAAACATGCTAGTTGTGACTCAACCTCTATTTTTTTGTGAGGAGTAGTGTAGCCATTCAGTTTCTGAACATGCTGATTGATTTTTGATTTAAATGTATATTTGTGATAAACAAAATGGACTCTCTACAAGATGTGATGAGAATGGGGAATATTTAGCACAGGTATTTCAAACACAACAGGTTTAATAAATTTATTGGTATGTGATGCTTGTCATGGTTATAGATAACTTTATTTTTGATTGATTATGACTGAAGTGTCTTGTGATGACAGACTGAGAGCTGATGATGTGCTTATTAAATACCTTATATCATTAGCTTTTTAATTTTCAATTATTCATACCCTACCCGTTGTTCTTGATGTCTAATGTTAAGGAATATGCTACCACACTGTAACTTTATCTCCATTCTAGAAGAGTTCCTCACTTTTAAGAGATGTAATTTGCCTTTTGTTAACTAGGACAAGGTCAAATGATTGGTGACACATTTGAAATGTACACATGAATTGATGACACATTTGAAATGCACACATGAATTGATGACACATTCGAAATGTACACATGAATTGATGACACATTTGTTATGTACACATGAATTGATGACACATTTGATATGTACAGATGAATTGATCACTCATTCAAAGTGCTTGATCCTTCTCCGTGTTGGAATGTTTGTGAGGTCCTTTTTTTACTGTACATCAAACATCCAGACATCTATTTGACTTGGATTTGATTCTGGAAAGTGTTTTATCAGTTCATCTTCTGAATTAAATATCTGTTTTGTTTATTGACAATGGAGTGAATGTTGCAATATTTTATTGAAATGAAATATGTTATTGCTGATCTGTACGCAAAAGATCAGTGAGGGATCTAGATTTGAGGAGGGAGGGGGGAAAGACAAAAGACTTTTCATGGCATTTTCATAATCTGGTTTTAAAGTGCACTTGGGAGAAAATGTGGAAAAAATATTACCGATTTTGTCCCATTGGATTCGGAGTGTATGTGTTTCAGACCGAATGTTATACACATGTATCAAGCTTTATCACATGACTGTGTGATCCACATGAGTCTGCACCAGATGTGTCATCCGTACACAGTTTGTTTTTGCTAAATATGAGCCCATGGTTGTTTCTTTACATCTCTAAAAAAAGGATATCACTAGGGTATTAATGGGAAAGAGTGGCAATTTCAAATATATCATAATTTTGGGACGCTTTTTCAAAATCAGTAAATATGCTGTTCCTTAACCTCGTCCCAATCTCCATCACTAGTACAATGTATACAGTTGCTAGATCCAGGATTTTATTATGTGTGGACAGATACAGCTTGGTGGATTCTGTGAAGTAATGTAGAAAATGTTTACAAGAATATATATGTTTATGACAAGCATACCTCCGATATCTCGAGCCTTCAGGTGTGTCAACATGTGCTTATCTGACCTCTTAGATTTTATTGTTCATGTAGTTCTATTCTAATTTTCTAAACCTGTCCAATCCTTATCATCATGTTCACTTCGGACAGGACTATATTTAGATCGTGCTGCTGTTTTTGTTAGGAGATTATTTCTTTATTAGATTGCCATTTGTCACCTTGGGTTTTCGTAAAATGAAATATTCATTTCCATTCTAGATACAGAATCTGTGTTAAAAGTGGCTATTTTGCATTGCACAGTATACTGAATTTACGGTTTAGAGTTTATCTAGAGATTCATCACCTGACGATCATACAGATATTTACAATATCTTGTTTCAAGTAAAAAGTGCTCATAACAATGTTGTGTGCAATATTACTACTGTATGTGTTGGAATAATTAATTGTTTATGGTAGAACTTTATAAATCCAGAATCCCCCTAAAACAACGATGACTTTCTTAAACTGATCACTGTGAATTTTTTTTTGCAGTGCCCAATTTTTGCAACTTTGCTAAAATTATCTTATTTTTGGGGGACCTGCATTTGCAGATATAGGGTCTTACGGCCATCGTACAAAGTGCTACTGTAAGGATTACTGGATCAATCAGCTATGGAAATTGTTTGGATATATTTTTTGCAAAAAATGATTACTGCGCGATTGTGAATAGTACACCCAGTGGAAAAAAACCCCAAAACCCCCACCATTATGCTATTGAGGTGCTTTTAAGGATTGCTGCAATATGTATCACTTTCCAATAGAGCTCCACTCATAGAAACTGTTAAAATATCTATCATAGAGTGGTAATTTCAAAGGTAAACGTGGATCCATACATTGATAACACCGATGTAAACTTTATGATGCTAGTTTATGTGTGTAGCATGAGAGCGAAGCATTAACAGAAAATTACTTAATGTTTTTATTGTATAAGGTATTACATACAACCTTAATCCTCTATTGTTTTTCATTTGATAAAATTTAAATTTGAAAGAAATCTGGCAACCTACTGGTAGGTAGTTTTGAATGACAACGATCTACTCTACTTTGGGTATGTAATTTTGCCTGTTGGAGTTTTTATTAACGAGTAACAAAATACATTTCTTTATTGTCCGATCCAACTTTTCATGATTAATAACACGTGTTAAAGAACCTTGCAGGTAATCGGTGTTTAAGTTATAGAATATGATTTTTATATCTGGTTTGAACATTACTATTTCAATGAAATATCCACATCATAAGTGCTGATAAATGATAATTATTAAAAATGATAAGTCCATTGTTTGAGCTTTGGTTTTATTTATTGATACTTTGAAATTGTACCGCTTTCAGTAAGTGACCAGCAATCTACCATTTTGAAACTTTTCTACTGAGTTTTCTTCAGGACACTGTATTGTGACCATTTGCTCAATACGACCAGGTCCCCCAAATCAGTCTTTTCTGATAAAACATTAACATAACTAGGTCAAGTGGCCTAGTGCCATTTGGTTTGATTGTTTGGGTTTATTGTCCTATGAACAGCTGTGGTCATTTAAGGAAACTTAAGGTTTCGGTGATCGTAGACGGGCAGACGCCTTAACCACTTGACTACTGTGGCTTAGATATTTGGACAGGACATTGACCTGAATGACTAATAGAGTCTTCCCCTATCTTGGAGGTGTGACAGAGAAAATTCCAATCCGAGGGGAGATTTCTCCGTTTCATCACCAAGGTAGGGGATGATTATTTTTCTCCCATCCTGTATTTTCAGTCACAACTCTACCAACAATAGCCATATTTGTAAACAAAGCATATTTGGCATTAGAATGTTCGCGATTCACCTTTTTATGACATCATGATCGTCTTTCTCTTATTAAGACCTCATAGTTTAGTGCATGCTTTTCTGCACGGGGCTACCTCCCCCTAAGGGGTGACAAGCTGATCTCTCTTGGCTAAAACAGGAGACATACCTGTGAAGGATGGGGAAAAAAATACAACGTATGCAAATTTTGAAAATTCATTTATTTTGTCAAAACCTTGGGATGACTTTTTCTGAGTAATGATTTGGACATGATGTTGATCACGGGCAAGTAGGCAATCAGAATCATAATGATCCAGTACCATGTCAACAAAGCCACTCTACTAGTTTGGGTGCCTAGGCCTACTTGTATAAAACATCTCAAAGTTAAGGAAAATCTCACGCAATGTATTGTCTATGGGAAATCTTAGACTTGAGAAAAAATCTCAGATTTGAGATATTTTATACAAGTTGGCCCTGGTCTCTGATTAATCAAGTGTCGCATGACTTGTAAATACGAACACATTGACTCAAAACCTTCACTTACTGGTGGATACATGCTCATGAAACTTGACGAAACTATTCCTGTTATCAGTCTCTGGAGCCACTGATAAAGTTGAGGTTATTCATTCCAGGTCAAGGTCACCGTAACATACTCTCTACATCTGAAAGGGGAAGTAGTACATTCAGCGTGTCTGAAGGTTCCTGACAAAATTTTGGAATCAACTTTTAATAACCTCGATTCAAGTATATTTTATATCGATCATTTGAGTCCATGTGAATATACAGTAATATCATATGTTCAAGGTCAAGGTCACAACTAAAGAATCTGGACATTGTAATGGGTTCATTAGATTTTTGGCTGCAGGTTCCTGACTTAAGGTTTCATATATATTTCAGACATCAATCTCTCAAAAGCCTTTACAGCTAAAATTGATAAGGTCAAGGTCACAGCTACAGAATTGTGGGAAAGTACCATGCATTCCTTGTGACTAAATTTTCAAAACTGTAGAAAAGTGAAGAAATAAAAAAGATTACTTGTTAAACTTGTTAAACAAATTTTTTATTTACATACATTGCAGGTACTGTTGTGTACATTTAGTCAAACCATTACAATAAGGTACTTCCTACATCCACTTAATCAAACAATAAATATATATGTAAGCATTTACCGGTCTTAATTCAGAAATATTGACATCTGCACTCGTGATGAATTGGGTTTTTTAAATTATAGCTTCAGCTCTCGCACAAATGTAACAAATTGAAACCATTTTTATGCTATGACACCAAGTTTTAAACAAAATTGTTGAAGAAAAAATGTTGAACAATGTATTGAAATATATATGTCTCATGATGATGCATGTAGTAAGCAATTATTTTAACATATTGAATGACAGATGCTATTTTCAACATTGTGTAAATGGTTCAGATCTGATTACATGTATATTGTGACAATGTCAGAGGAGTGCCATTTTCAATTGATAATTAAGTGCCATCAATTAATAACTAAATGGATGAAGATCTTCATTCTTTTAAATATGGAAATGCAGGTTCATTAATTTTTTTAAAATTGTTTTAACCCTTTCACCCCTATGTAACTTTAGTAGACTCAACCATGCATTGATTCCATTATGGTCTTCAATGGTGAAAGGGTTAAACCATTGTCACATGTCTTAATTAAATTGGCTGTGTCTCCCATTGAATCCCACTTTTAGATTTCTCTGTAAAATGAAGTGAACCCTGTTATCAGAAAAACCTGGATGAGTTCAGACTTGACAGATTGCACTTTACATTACATTGTCTATTATGTCATAAGTCTGTTTGAAATTTGTGCAAATTATCTCCCTTTGTTTGCCGTTCACCTGGGACCGTCTTTTGTTTTCCCTGCTTCTTTGGAGTTGTCTTCTCTTTCCCTGCAATGACAAAACAAAAAGTTTTTATACCAAGAGCAAAACATGTAGTCTAATAATGATAACATTACGTAAGTATTTTTGGGAATTTCAACAGGCCAAAAAAGGGTGTCGAGTTCATGACACAGTCTGAATTCTTTTCATAATGTTGGACAATACCCTGTCATTTGGTTTTATTCCTGGGTAAATCTTTGGATGTCTCAAAAAGTGCATTGTGGTCCCTTCCATTCATAATGGTACAAAGGGCAAAGATCCCAAGATCAGATATTTTATAGTTGTGTAGAATTCTTTATGATACACAGAAATCAATGAGCTTTCATTATTTATTTATTTTATTATTTTATGCTGTACCGGGCGTCCGTCGTCCATCCGTCCGTCCGTCCATCCTTCCGTCAACAATTTCTTTAAACGACTTCTTCTTCTTAACCACTGATTGGAATTCAACTAAATTTGATTGGAAGCATCCCTAGGTGGTGGGGATTCAAAATTGTACAAATGGTGGGGCTGACCCCCAAGGGGGCTGAGGGGCGGGGCCAAAAGAGGTCAATTTGGCTATATTGCTTTAAGCGACTTCTTCTCTGGAACTAAGAAGTGGATATCAACCATATTTGACTGGAAGCATCCCTAGGTGGTGGGGATTCATACAAATTGTGGGGCTGAGGGCGGGGCCAAAAAGGGGGCAATATGGCTATATTGCTATAAACGACTTCTCCTGTAGAACTATGCCATGGATATCAATCATATTTGGTCGGAAACATTCATGGGAGGCAGGGATTCAAAATTATACAAATGGTGGGGCTGACCCCCTGGGCTAAGGGGTGGGGCAAAAAAAGTGTATAACTTAGAAATGGTTGAGATCCCCACCATATAACCATGGTATACAATTGCTGAGTATAAAGAGAAAAATGCACATTTGCTTCCAGGATGGCTATAGGGTCTGGCCCCACCCTTGGAGACATAGTCCCTGGGCCATAACTTTAAAACTGTTGAGATCCCCACCCCAAAACTATATATATAAATGCTGGGCATAAAAAGATGAATGCAGTCATGATATCAGAATAGACCCTGGGGTCTGACCGAACCCCTAGGGACCTAGTTTGTTAGTCACAGCTTGGAAACAGTTGAGAGCCCCACCCTATAACGGTATATACAATTGCTGAGTATAAAGAGATGATTGCACATATGCTTCCAGGATGGCCTTGGGGACTGCCCCACCCTTGGAGACTTAACCCCTGGGTCATAACTT